TAGCATGGTCAAGATGCGATTTGTGCTACGGCCGACGCCGGAGGAAGGATGGATGTTTGGGGGAAGCATGGGTCGATGGGATAGTTTCCTCTTACATGAGTTTGAAATGAAAGAGAAAGATGCCCACAGGACGAAAAAGGGGTTTTCGATCCCATACTAATCGAATCATGGCCATGTGGAAAATGATGATCTTTCTTTGAAGGTTCAGTAATATTCACTTTGTTTTGTTATTCACTTTAGGTTTGTTATTAATCATGACACTTTAATTTTCATTTAATTTGTTTTTCTCAACTTGCATCCATACTGGGCTGCGTCGGTAACACTTAGATACCGTTTCATTTAAACTTCACATACACGTAAGTGCACTTAGTTGCGTAATATTACCATCACTATGCAAATTCTCATTAGTACTTCATTTTCAATGAACTACAGGAGGGAATGTAGAAGCGAATTGTGTTGCCTCAGGTCATCGTGACCTTAAGCTCACAATAATTGAGAACACAGAGCAAGCAGTCTGGGAGCCACGTACACATTTTGGCAATAACAATGGCAGGAACAATGTGTTCACAAAAGCCCACTCGCACGCAATCCGGTCACAAGCCAAGAACTTCCAGGAAATCTAATCAGAGCGTCCAGTCGTGCACATACATCCACACAGTGCAATGTTGAAACTATATAAACGCCCAGATTTGAAATGGGAGTTGAGAAAAAGCTAGATGTGTTCTGTTGAAATGTTCAGCGCTGTGTTACGTGTACTGAGGACAGCATGTGAATTTGATCTATAAAATAAACGCTTCTTCTCCCGTCCTGGGGCAAGCAGATGATCGACTGAAGGTGTCCTGATTTTTTTGACCATTGAAAACCACCACAATACAATTTTGGGTGAAGATGTAGCGTTCAAATCCCACAAGGGGGCAGTGACGTGGCTTGATAAAGATGTAATATTTGTGAAATCGCAAACTGAAGAACAAAAAAAAAAACAAAATAAACAACAGCAATGAAATAATAAATACATATAGCCGAAAGTCTGTAAATATCATAGTCCATTAACCTTTAAAATCATAATGGTATTGATAAGTCAGTCATAATAGTTGCAAGTAAACACAACAAAAACCTATAAAGAGCTCTGTCATTTCTGCAGTGTTTTAAGATCATACACTGTAATCAATGAGCTCCTGTTAAAAAACCTATTTTTGCAGTGGTTCAATTAGTGCATACAAGTAATGATCAGCAAGGAGATTAGATCTGGGACAACCATCTGGCCTTATCCCCAGGATATGCTTATACAGCTCCATCACTCTGAAAGAAAAAAACACAAAACATTATTTGGATGTTTTCAGATCTAAACACTTTTTCAAGACCGTGAGAGGCAGATAAAAACAGAATTTGTTGCAATTCCAGCTTGATTTCAGGTAATAATCAGCATCATATGGGGTCAAATCTCATTACAGCTCACTGAATACTGACCCCTCCACAGCAGCCACAGTCTCCACACAGAGCTCCCAGCAGGCCATTTATCACCTGGACCGCACATAGAACGATCTGGATTAATCCCATCGCCAGGATCACAGAGAACAGGGACAGGTGCCAGGTTACCAAATTATCTGGCTTTTCACATTTTGTCCAAATTGTTTTATTTGACAGGTAATTCCTAGAGAGAAAATATGGATTCAGATTACTTATTCAAGCTTCTTTCAGCTGAACACATTTCCATATAGGCCACACATTCTGTTGGAATAGGGGAAAAAATGTAAACACATATAAAATAAATGTAAACATATAAAAATAAAATTAAAAGCTTATTGTTGAATATACAAAGATATTTAACTGTTTGATAGATTATTAATTTTAATCATCTTACCCATTCTCAAATGGGTAAGTTCCTGCTGCGTCGGGGTAAGTGCTGTTTAAACACATTGGTCCTCTGTTGATAGCCACGGCTGAGACTACAACTGAGTAACCTGCGCCCAACACACCAACAGCTGCGAACAGTATAGAGCTTAGCATCTAGATTGAGATAATAGAGAGAAAGTATTCTGATTAAATATATTCAAAAATGCCAGCTATAGATGCTTTAGAAAAAAACAAAAATAAACAATTTTCAACATCCATTTCAGCTAATATAAAAAATATGAACATATTACCGTACATTAAATTAATAGCTTAAACTGCACCAGCGAAACGCAAAATGCATGTCTTTCGATTTGCCTAATAGAGTTTTGTTTGCTCTTCCTCCCATCTACACATTCCTGATCGATCACTTGGCTTGTTTGGCGTGTTCCTCTTTAGGAGCACAATGCTCGCCTTGTGTAATAAACTCATGTGAAACTCCCATCAGGGAGAAAGGTCTGCCACACCGACCAAATCCTTATTAATATGTGTGCTTAATTCTATGTCCTAATCTGTTTTTTTTTGCATTTATGACTGTAAATCATCAAATATGTGTACACAGTGCCAGTGTGTTTGTTTTCCATTACAGCCTCAGCCTGATTTGGCTTTACAGTTAACAAATAATATGCAGTAAAATATGTCCTCCCTGCCCTTGAGGATAAGCAGCACTTATCAATGTCTGCTGTGCAATTTTTTTGAAAAAGAAAAAAAAAATGTACCAAGGGTGAGGCACTGATCCAAGCTACAGATGGGATTCTATCAAAATGTGGAGGTATAACAGAGTCTATAAAGACACTAACTGTACACACGCACATTGAGCTAAAAATAAGATAACATTTCTTAAAAAAAATGCATTCGCCCTTGCTTTAGGCAGTTAAATGAGACAATCTGCCTATCAATTAACATTTTGTCCTTAAAATAAGATATGTACTTATTATGGTGTTATGGGTAATCCCTGCTCAAAGAAACGCATTTGAGTGAAAAATCAAACTAAAAAGTCAATAAGTGAAAAACTGTGGCCAACTTTGGTAGCAGCAACTAGAATTTACTTGCAATTTTCAGCCACATTTTACTTTTAAATCCACTGTTTCTATTTCAGTTTGCAACGAATTATTATACACCAATGAAAAAATTAAATATAAATACTTTTGAAGAAAATCAAAGATTGCCTTTTCTAATGCTACTTTAACAAAGCTATGAACGATAGTTTAAAAGAATATTATTTGCCTCAGGTCTTTGATACCCTTCGTTATATTTGCTTTAAAGCCTCTGATGTTGTCGCGCCATTTAGGGCTCCGTATCCAAGGGCAAGGTACAGCAGGGCTATTTGGAAATATTAAGGGACAACTAAAAAAAATCTATATTTGTGAAGGTTTTTGCTTTTTTTTTTAAGCTGATATTTAAATATGAAATCTAATCTGTAAACCTTGAACTGTGATGAAAAATATAGTTATTTTTCAAAATTGCAAATGAGAAGAAAAAAACAGGTTAGAAAAATTTTCTAGATTTTAGTTATAAAAAAGTTAAGAAATTGATACATATTTTAGTTTTTATTTATAGGTACTTAGTTGAAATAAGTTTTAAAGCATCTCCTTTAAGTTTATTTAAACATAGCAAATATCTGTCATAATATATATTACCTATTAACAAGGAAAACATGTTTATTTCATTTTGATTATAAACATGAAGTGTTAGAAACCTCTATATTAAACTATTGGGTTGATCTATAAAAATGAAGATGTTAAACATAAAGCATCTCCTCACCGCGAATCTCCGGCCACAGCTTTCGTTTCCACAGCAACCGCAGCAGTCGTTGTTTTTCAAACCCAAAAAGACCAGAGCTGGGAAGATCATCTGTCATCCAAAGCCCACCCCAGATTCAATCACACAAACAAACACAAAACAAAAATGTCCGGTTGAGGATCGGTTAATTTCCGTACAGTGTATAGGTTGTAGCAGCAAACACTTGGGAATATGGAATATTCTACTATTTGGAAAGGGTCAGTCTGAAGAGATGCAAATTATACAAACTGATCAATTTCAACAAGTTTACCACAGTGTTAGAGGCTATTGATTTCAATGTAATATTATGTTAGAAATTTAATTTCAAGCAGAAAATGCAAAAAAAAAAGCATAGGTTTTGAATAACTAATAAATGTTGGACGAATGTTAAAAAATACACAATAATACAGTTACCAGCATATACTAATCTCTAAACAGAAATTGACAGTTTATCATGTAATCTATGAGTTTCCTGAAACTTACCAGCACACCTGATCCCAGGATGCCTCCAAAGTACCAAACCTCTTCTGTGATCTGATTATTTTTCACAACTTTTCCACTAGGAAAGAAGAGCAGGATGTTGCACAGCACGCACACTATCGCCAGAGGCATCAGGGTGATGCCCAGACATTTAGCAAAGCTGCCCGAACACATTCTGAAACCGATGCTTCGACCGCCCTTGACAGCAAAAGCAAATCCTGGTATCGAAATATCTGAACTATTTAGTAAAGTTGAGTCGTAAATAAGGTCCAAATTTTGTCCACTTCCAAATAATCTATGATGCCCGTAGAGAGATTCTCCTAACTACCTATTTTTCAAAAAAAAAAATCTAGATTTACTGAATGATGCTGCCTGCTTCACCTGTTTGTTCTGTGAAGATTATCAATACGGATTTGACCCTTTATACCCCCCACCCCACCCAACCCTCCCTCTTTAGGCGTGATCTCATTGCTTCACATTTACATCACAGCAGGATCTCTCTCGAAAAAAAACACACCTACATACACACATCCACACAAAGTGCAAACACTGGTGGCTACATGCAAAACTAACAGAGGGCTAATAATCTAGGGATATATTTCTGTGTGTGTGTGTGCACCCATACACACCAGCAAAGACACAGTGGTCAGAGTAGTTAATGTTCTACCACGCGTTTGGTTTGCATGGAGACACAGGAGGAAATAACAGACAGTCGGTAGATATGGTGTGGTCCCCATTGCTAACTGTACCCGCCTAAAGTTTAGTGACTCACATGAAAAACCCATGATCAATAAGGAATGACCAACAAACATGCTGAAAAATGTGATAACTTTTTTAAAGCAGTGTTTAAAAGAATGCCAGCTTATTTGATCAGAGCCCAACCTTGTAATCGATAGAAAGCAGGTGTAACTAGTAGGCTTATCAAGATGAGTCATTGAGTTTTTTGTAAACCTTTCCTTAAATATTTTCTTGTTCTCTTCAAAGAAAGATTAAAAAAATAATAAAATAAAAAATGTATAATATATATGTATATTGAAGAGGCCAAATGTAAAGACGTCTAACAATAGGAGTGAATTATAATTAGTATTGCCTAAGCATGTATTTTAGTAGATGGTGGGACAATCCTAACAACCTCAATAAGTCTGACAATGGAGGTATGACCGGGTCAGAGCATCTTCATAACCGCTCCTCTTGTATGGTGGTCCTGCGCTGTGGACCTGAGAGCTATTAAAAACTATACCAGATAGCAGCAGGACTACTGGAAACAATGACTTATTAAAGCAATAATTACTCATTAATGCACTTCAGGGGAGCAAATTCTGGATATTGTTGTTTGATCCAATGAGAGAATAGACCTATCTTAAAAAACTAACCAAATACTTTATCTGATTACAAAGTGTCAGAATACCTGATACAGTGCTGCTTTTCAGGATGCCTGTGCAGACCGTGACCTCCTCCAAACGTACCAAGAGGTTGTCTGGTTTGATGAATCTTGCTTTATTTTAAATCCCATAGATAATGTACAGGTCACTTACCTGAGGAACACATTGGACTAGGAAATTCTAAAGCAAGAGTAATGTTGTGTGGATACTATTTGGACATGGAGTATACGTACTTAAGCATTGCTAAAGACATGTAGGATACAACCCGTGACGGTATTACCTGCTGGCTGTGGCAGTGATGTGCTCTTTCACAAAATAAAAAAAAAAGGATTCTAAATGGTTTGAGAAGCAGAAGAACCAGTTAAACATTGGCCTTCCAAATCTGCCAAATCTAAATGTAATCAAGAATTTGTAGGATGTGTGTAACAATTCCAATCCATAGGAAACACACACGCAAATCTACAACTTACATAATCAACTGCTAACATCTTTTTTGGGAGATGCCACAAAACATCGAGTGTTCTTTGGCGTTTATGTGTCATTGCATTTTTGCTGAAGCAAACAGCTGATTTATTAATAATAGAATTAAAGGGAAATTTACATCTGGCAGAAAAATCTGGGCTGAGTGATCGACCATGAGGCAGAGCAATGGAAGAAACTGTGACAGCGATGAGGGGACTATAGGCAGGGGGAAGAGTGGAGAACGGGAAAAGAGGTGAGCATAATCAGCTGGTGGTGAGGAACAGCAGGGATTAGGGAGGGCAGAGGGAGTGTAGGAGTGGAGACTGTTAGATAGAAGTTAAACAGAGAGAAACAAATATTAAAAATATAATGATATGGAAATTTAAAAATGACAGAAAAGAACTAAAATGGCAACAACTGGCTCATTAAATTAATCAGAACAAAGTCAAGAACACAAAGAAGAAATATTAAGTAATGCAAACTTGGACAAAAAACATCGGTTTAAGCCACAAATTTATTGGCTCTGTGAACAATATATTTGCAATATATATTCTATTTTCTTATTATGGTTTAAATAAAGGTGGATAAAATGTACAACAAAAACATCGAAACAACATGATTTTTGAAAACATACACATATTTAAATATTATTGATATAACTTATAGAAACTTTAATTTTTTTTGTAATAATACATTTGGGAGCCTTTTCTAAAGGCCCCACCACCACACCCAAATTTCCATGCTGTGGAACAGTAAAGATATTTCTTATCTTATTCTTATCTTGTCTTATAAAAACTTCAGCTCATTTAAAAATAATGTTTTTTTTTTTAAAAGATTAGAGATACAGGGAAACTCCCAACAGCTAATCCAAACAATGCTACCAAACAGAGGAGTTTCAATTAATTATTAACGTATACAATACAAAGAGTACCCAGAACAAACACATTTCACTTTAAGGGCCTCACCAAAAAGATGGCGAGAACTTAATATTAATTTTCAGAGAAATGCATAATTTTCCCTCTAAACTGACAAATTTGTGGCATAAGTCACAAATATGAAAGAATATTCATAAAATAGTTTTAGGCATTTTGCTTTTATTAGTGCTACCAGAGCCTTGAATTTAAATGGTAATCAAATAGTTCAAACATACTGCTGGGTATTTTGATGAAACACTGCAGGCATATAATTTTACATGAGGCAGAGAAAACAAGAATGAGAGCTATCTGAGGAGTTCAAAAGGATAAGTTCAGGTAAACATTACCAGGGTACACCAGCCGCCAGTTTTATAAAAAACTAAAAAATAAAGTTCATGGTACTGCAGATAATTTTCCAGGATAAAGAGGTAAGAGGAATGTCTGATATCCACCAGCTGTTCCTCTCTGAACCTGTTATGGTTCAGAGAGGAACAGCTGGCGTAGACTTAGTTGTTAACTTAGTCGTAGACTTTTCTCTCAGTTTACAACTAAGAGAAAAGCAGAAAAAATGCAAGTCTGGTCTTAGTCCAATGTACCTACATCTCTAAACGTTCTGAAAGGGCTTTGTTAGAGTTACCGGACAAAACTGAAGGTGTTTGTCCAGTTTAATCAGCCTCATGTTTACAGATGAAGCTTTAGAAGAGCCACAGCAACTGTGAAAAGTGGAGGGAGCTTGGTTTAATGTCATGGCTGATTTGCTGCACATGGCACAGCAAACCTGAAATTTGTATAGGGCACAATTATCATGTAATCCTGGAATGATGCATGCCGACCAGTGCCAGAAAGCTCATTCTGAGGGAGATTGGTTTAAACTGGTGAATGCAGTGGTTTCATAGCAATGTTTAGCAATCAGCTGCTGTATGTAACTAAATAAAATGTGAGATTTTTGTTAAAATATGCGATAAATTATAAGCAATCCACTAAACTGTTGGTGTTTTAAGATGTTGAACAGATAGCTGATGTCATTAATGAATAGCAATGTTTTTTTGTTTTTTTTTTATGTCCGTATATATAGCAGAGTATATACAGTTAAGATAATATGCAGAAATCTCTGCCGTCGGTGGATTACTGTGAAATCTCAAAAACTGAGTCCCCAGGCACTCACATATGATCTTGCTGTGTAATTCCCTGGTGAGATGGATTCCCTTGGTTCATTCACAAATTTCAGCTATCAATTTAAAAATATTTTTTCACAGAAATTGTCTGTTTCATACAGGCTTCTGGAACAATCAAACATTTTATATGTATTTTTAAAATATTTTGTTAGAGAGATTTAAAAGTAAGCTGTCTCAGCCGTATCACTGCAGGATAATTTATATGTTTAGGAGGAACATATTGTATGCTGACACTGACATGTCATAAACAATTGGGCTGTATTCATTTTAATTTATTATCACGCATCCTGACTCTTAGAGCTCTTGAACTTGCCACCAACTTGCCTCTGCATAAGGTCTTCTTTAACGCAGATTAACCGTAAATTTTAGGAGGAATCTCATTAAAAACATGAAAACTTTCACTTCTTTTATAGACTAATTAGTTTCTTAACTGCTGTTGCATAAAGAGAAGAGAACAAAGATGATGAGAAGCTGTAAAAAATATTTCTCAATACCCATTTCTCACATACGCATTGTTTTCAAACTGTGGCAGGTACCAGATGGTGATAAGGGGGCTTCCTTTTAGAGTTCTAACACGAATTTCTGTCATTACTGGATAGTTTTCAACAAATGCCAAAATTTGGTTATTCAAATGTGATTCATTGCAGATGTCATTCAATGGAATAGATAAAAAAAAAAAAAAAAAACATTTACATACCGTTTTAAAGTTATAAACAATATATATACATATATATATATATATATATATATATATATATATATATATATATATATATTGTTTATAACTTGATATATTTTGTGAAATATACACTAATACTTTGAACTTCGAAATACTGTTATGCAATGTTTATCAAAGAATGTTTTATAATGTCATATAATGTCATATGTGTGATTTCTTATTGGTTAGATATAAAAAGTTGGAAAGGTATATAACAGCTAATAATGGAGCTATAAGAGAGACTTTGGGCTGATTTTAAAATTCAGCCTTTTTGGCACATTTTGGGTTTTTTTTTTATCTTCAAACTTAAAATATCAATCAAATATATTTTCTGGGGAAGCTTATTCGTTTATCTATACTAGCATAAAATAAAACTGATGTTAGTATGTTAGAAATTAGAATATAATTATGAAAACTTCCTTTTTATTAAGCTCAAAATCAAATTATTGATTATTGATCTTAAGTAAAATATAATAAACATATGATCATTTATTATAGATCTTTTGTAATTTATGGAAGCCCGTTTCCGCCACTCTGTAAAAAAAAAAAAAAAAAACTATCTCAATATAATGAGATAGTATCTCAATATAATGAGATAGTAACTCAATATAATGAGATAGTATCTCGTTATAATGAGATAGTTTTTTTTTTTTTTTTACCATTTTTTTAAGTTAAAATTGAGTATTTTTGGTCAATAGCTCCCAGGTCATGTGACCTATTGATGCAAAATCAGTGTGAAATTGTTCTACTAG